TTCAAGTGATCGCCAATAAAAATTTTATTTGTGCATTAAATTCAGCCAACATAGATAAACAGGTTTAGGGTAAACCTATTGATTGCATGTTAGTTAGAAAGCGCACATGAATACGATCAGAATAAAGTAAAGGCCTATTATTAGGGCAGGTTCAATCTGTTTTAGGTTGGATTTGTACCTTCATCCCCGAACTACTAGTCATGGTTCCAAACCTATTGGAGTTGACGATCTCCTGGATCGTTAAGGGGTGTAACCTTCACTTCGTGAACGGTTTACAAGTTCCTAAAACTTCTTGGCGACTCTTTTACTCTATCTTCTTTCCCTTTGGACGCCACCGTACTTTAGTGTATGATCACAATGGGGTTCAAGCTAGGGGTAATGCTTGAAATATTCTTGAAATATTCCCTACAGTAGTGTTGCAACTAATATAAAACGGCCGAAAATAAAAAGTGTTGCAACTAATGTGAAACGGAGGGAGTAACTTTTTACTGTCTTCAAGATGTCTTTTGAAATGGTTTATCATTAAGGGTATGGTATGATTTACTAAATTGAATTGAATTGAGCTGAACTGAATTGTTTATGAGAGAAGAAATTAGGAATTGAATTGAACTGAAATCAAGGTGAAGAGAACAGACCCTAATTTTATACTTTGTAGGATTAAAAATTATAAAAATATAAATATTTTGTATTAATAAAATATAATACCTCCGTTAACTATTATTTGCAACAAAGGAATATTTTATATCTCACAAATAATACCCCTTTGTTGCAAATAATAGTTAACAGAGGTAGTACAATGGATGAATTTAATAAGACCTCAAACGGCGATAATCTTATCTATTAAGAGTTTGTTCCGGTAAATAATAATAAAGTTCGATCCATATATTTGCAAGCAAAAAAAATTAGGGAATAATGAATGGTGCTACATTTGTCATCGGGTCTTAGATTCTTACCAAGTGGTGTCCCGTACGTCCACCTTATTTTTACTTATTTCATATCATATTAGGAAAAATAAGTTTAGATTATATTAAGAAAAACAAGTTCTATCATAGGAAACTCCATACGTTAGGTTATTTTTTCATGTACGGTTTTTATCGTTAAACATCATTCATTTCGTGATGAAAAAATTATAAAAATTACAAATTAATAAAATACATAATATTATATTGATTCAAATCAGATCAATTCGGAAAAAATACTAAATAAGTTCAAGTAAGATTAAATAAACATAATTAAGGTCATCTTAATCGACCATATCACCAACTCTCGAGATATTAGATCTAGATTTACCTAAACATATTGCTCCCTCCGTGTTTTTTTAAGTGTTACACTTTGATCGGCACATATTTTTAGTCAACTTAATTGAATTAAATAAAATAAGAGGTAAATGGGGTAGTTAGAGTATTAAAAATTGTAAGAGAAAGATAGTGGGATTAATAGTTTATTGAAAAGTAATGAATGTGAGAGGAAATATATACTACCTCTGTTACATATTATTTGCAATGATTAGACATTTTCCTTTTCTACTTTATGTCAAATCGTTGCAAATAATATGTAACGGGGGTAGTAATAAAAAAGTAGTAGTGAGTTTGGGTGGGGACCATGAGAGGAGAAAGAGATATAATATTTTAATGTAACTTTTTGCCAAAAAAGGAAGTGTCGGCCGAAAATGGAAAGTGTAACACTTAAAAAAACACGGAGGGAGTAATTAAGACAATCAATAGCTTATTAGCTTTAATTGGTGTAATTGAAAGATAATAAATCTCAACTACTGAACATATGTCGGATCGATAGTGATTGATAGAAGTATATACACTAGTTTTAACATAAGGTTTTACAGTTCTAAAAGAAATCCTTTATGTGAGAGCTTAATGAGTCGCGCGGCTATATATAAAATTTATAAAAAAAATTAAAAAATAAAAAAAAGTGAAACGCTAAATGTCGCTCTCAAATCTCTAGGTAACGCTCACAAAATAACCTATAAAGACATTCATATCCTCACTTTAAAACTCACTAAATTTACCTCAACCTACCAGTTACCACTTTCAATCTCCACAATTATTTAGGTTGCATTGTTTAGTGGTCCGACCACCAACAACCACCGCTCAACCCACCAAGGACCGTACCAAAACGTTCATAATCAACCAAACAATTTCAATTTTGCAAAATCAAGTTCGTTGGATCTAATGGGCAACGACGAGGGATTGGAGATGCCACATTATGCTCATCGCGTGGCTCACCATAGCGTACGAACTCGGTGCGTTTTTTTATTTATTTTTTTTTTTACGAATTTCCAAGCAAATGCGTGCCTAAAATTTCAACCTCCCTAGGCTGAACTACCTAGAATTTTCAAAACAACCTAGATTGCTTGAAAAAACTAGGTGATTCGGTTCAAACAACCCATGTTGTTTTGAAAATTCTAGGCGGTTGGGATGGTTGAAATTTTTAGGCGGTTAGTTTTTTTTTTTTTTTTTTTTTTTTTTGGAACTAACGTGCTATTATTATTAATATAAAAATAACAAAAACCTACAAAATCCATCAATTTACAAGAAATTGGTGGGTGAGGAGTCGAGATACAATCTGGACCCCCACCCCTCTAGATATTAACGAACTCGGTCATGTTGAAGATGTGAGTAGCTGCACGAGCACCAATATCCTGAGTCTTAGCGAACGCTTGAACCTGCTTCAGCAATGCTATACCATCCTTCTCTAATTTCGCCAATGAAGAAAAGGAGAAAGGTAGATAACCATGGCCAATAGCCATGCAACGCGCCCCATACTTGTCCCGCTTCCGTTGAGCTGTAACCGACACAACCCGACTAGGAATGAAGTCAGACAACTCAGATTGTGTTAAAGGAGAAGACCCCATCAAATCAACACATACATCAAGACCTCTGTCCCAGAAATAAAGTAACACATCTATTGGTCGAAAAGCCCCGATGTTTCCTCCAGTCAACCCAACGTTAACCTCCTTTCTCGTAGAAAATCCAGATTAAAAAGAAATATCAATAAGAGTATATGAACAATGTTGTACCGATGTTTAATATCCACAATCCTAGCATATAAGACACTGCATGATCCCCATAAATATCCCTATCAAAAATCCTTGAGCAAGCAGAACACGGTGACGAAATGGAGAACAATGGAACACTCAATCGGTAGCAAAGAACACAACGGTAATAATAATAATAATAATAATAATAATAATAAGAATAATAATAATAATAATAATAATAATAATAATAATAATAATAATTATTATTATTATTATTATTATCAACATTAAAACCTGCAAATTCAATCAATTTACAAAAAATTATTATTATTATTATTATTATTATTATTATATCTCAAAAACAAAAGTCATACAACCTACAATAAATTAGTGGGAAGCCGAGATACAATCTGGGCCCCCACTCCTTTAGCTATAGCAAATCCTACCCTAGTGAAGATATGAGCTGCAACACGAGCCCCAATGTCTTGCGTCGTCGAGAACCTCTGAATCCGCTTCAATAACGCAACAACCTCCTTCTCTAATTCCCCAAGCGAAGAAAAGGAGAAGGGAATGAAACCATATCCAATCGCCTGACATCGAGCTTCATACTTATCCCGCTTCCGATGAGCAGCATCAGCCACAACCCGCCCAGGAATAAAGTCAGATAGCCCTGACTGTGTCAAAGGAGAAGACCCTGTCAAATTTTTATTATTATTATTATTACTATTAGTATTACTATTACTATTACTATTATATCTCAAAGGTTCTCGAAGACTCAAGACATTGGGGCACGTGCTGCTGATCATATCTTTACTAGGATAGGATCTGCTAGTGGGGGCCCAGATTGTATCTCGGCTTCCCACTACTTTTTTTTTTTAGGTTGTATGTTTTTGTCTGTTTCTGAGATATAATAACAATAATAATAATAATAATAATAATAATAATAATAACTACAAAGTTATTTATTATTAAGTTGATTTTATATACATATACGATGTAGTGTTCGAAGAGGGTGAAGGTATAAACTACCGCAGATATTTTATGACAAACACTGTATTTTCAAGTTTTCGAGGATGGCGGTGGCTTAGAAAGAGAAAAAGGTGGGTTAGAAATTATGTTTGTGATGATGAATTTCTATTAATATATATGAGGGTAGATTTGTAAATAAATTTTATTTTGCGAGCGTTACCTTGAGATTTGAGGGTGGTGTTTAACAACAAAAGAGATAAAGCATATAGGTAACTCTTAATTATAAATTTCTTACTCACTCGTATTATAGAATTAGAGAAATATTTGTATTCTATTTAGTTTGGATATAATGTTTTAATCTTAATAATTTGTTAATAACCCAGGTGCTTGTTTAGTTGCATTGGAATTTTATTTCACATATAATTCTTCGATTTTTGCTAAATTTCTTTGGTTAACATAAAAGTGCATAGCGGAAGAAAAATTAAAGACGTAGAGATTGATTAAAATAATTAGGAAAAAAATATAGGCAAGACAAGTAATATAGAAATGGACGCACAAGATTTAACATGGAAAAAATTATAATAATAATAAAAAAATCCACAAACGACTAGCATCTAGGATAGCACGAGTGGACATTTGTATGTAAATTCTCTCTAAGCATAAATAATGTAGGAATAGACGACACTCGTAGAGTGTATGAGGGATCGAAGCATTAGAGGATGATGTAGGTGGATACATGATGTCCAACACCTCATATTTATTGGTGTTGTATGGAGGTGGAAGAAGTGTGCGGAAAATTTTACCACATGCTCTTTAAATTGTCACATAAATTCAGAATCTTCATGATCGTTCACTAATTTTAGATTCTTCTATATTTTTCCATTAATTTCTCAATATAGTAGAGTTTTCTAGAAAACTTTAGATGTAATGAGTTGGCTATGAAATTGGGCCACACTAACCCAACACTTCCATTTTGCATTTTTTGCATTTATGTTAACCAAAATTATATAGAACTAAGTGGTCAAGTCACATAAAAGCAAGTGGGTTCAAGTGTTCAACTTCTTGGAATAAAATTATATTTTTGCACACTTAAATAACTCAGTAAAGAAACCCGCTTAACAACATATTAACTTTACGTCAAGAATATCTATTGTAACATACTCGTAATAATGATAACCAATCAAAGTTATTAAGCTGGTACTAGAGGTATTCAATACCCGACCCAACCTAACATAACTAGATTAAACCAAACAAAAAACGACTCAATCCATATTTCTACTTACATGGGCACAAAACTCAAGGCTAAAGTCTACCCAATCTAACCAAACCAAATCAAAGGGTATGCAAAAAAAAAAAAAAAAAAAAAAAAAAAAACAATTAACCAAAACTACTCAAAATTGGGAACTTTACACAAAAATAGGGAGTAACGGAGTTTCAGCGCCCACCATAACAGTCAGCCCTGTCACTTTTCTCTGCGATACTCCATCTTTTCCTTCTCTTTTGGATTCTTCTTCTAATTAACGTCGATAATCCTCGCTATCCAAACACTCAGGTTCGATTCTAATTGCATAATTTCAATTAATTTCTAGTTACAATAATCCAATCTAATTGTAGCAGAAATTTTTATTTAATATTTTTATTTTCAATTTTATTACCCATTTCAAAATAGTCTAACATTTCTTGAGAATTTATTGCGTTTTTCTTGTTTGCAGATTTTTAAATGCTGGGTTAGAATTTTAGAATCAAGGGATTGATGTAATTTTTGATTTGGGTTTGAATTTGCAGCACATTATATTGAAATAATGGGACAAAGTTCGAAGAAGAAAAAGCGTCGGAATAAAGGAAGAGCTACTACTAAGGATCATGCGTTGCTTTCTGCTGATTACAGTGAGCTTATTTCTGAGGAGCTTACTGCTTTGTAAGAACCCACATTTCTTTTTATATTTATATTCAATTTTCTTATGTTTTCAGCTTGATTATTCAATATTGATGTATATATATAAATACCCACAAATCTGTAACTTTGTTGCTGTCAAATAAGAACCCCACAGAAATTGATTGATGGATTGATATGTGCAATTGTCCATCGTGTTAATGACTATAGCGGGACCATGTTGCCTATCGCGGTTCTAAATGAATTTATAATTTATAAGGATTATCAACACATCTCATATTGTTTAAAATTTATGAACATGGAGTCATAGAGTTACAAATTGTGAACATATAATTCGAGGATCATGGTTTGTCCCTCCATCTTCCCCAGGTTTGACCTGGGTTCAATCCTCACCTCACGCCTCCCGTGATAGGAAGGGCACCTCCCGTATCTTACCCTTTTTTCTTTTTTTAAAAAAAGAACATTTAATTCTTGGTGATATGAACATACGTGTGATGGCTTGAATTAGTTTGTCAATTGTCACTTCAAGAGTTCAAGTGAGCCGCCACAAGGGTCTTGTCTTTGATGGGACATACACATTATATTAGGCCACAATTTTCTGTTCAGGCTAATTTTACAAGCTTATTCTGTTTCTGTTTTGGAAGTACCTCAATAACTCTTTAGAGTCGATTTTGTATGTTGAAGCTTGATAGTTGCTTGCTGGTGGGTTATGAAGGAATTTTCAATTTCAAGGAGAGTTGTATTGTAGCAAAAGATGGTTTGTTGGTGGTAGTATTAGTGCCTCTGGGGTTGGGGGGTTTTTGAGGTTTTGATTGTATTATTAGGATGGAGAGAAACGAGCAGCAACCTTTGGATGGATTGGCTTCATTCCTTTTGGAGAAGAATAGTTGAAGTAGTGAAATTAATGTTCCAAAATTACTGGTGTAAGTAAAAGCTGATTGTAGAATTTATTACCATTGTCCTCAAGGTCCAATTGTTGATTCCGTAGAAGAATTCATAAACATACTATTTATTTCTCAGCCTTTGTGTACCTCTCAGGTTGTTAGTAGCTTGTTTTGTATGCTTCTGTACAACCGTTTTTGGTCTATCGTAGAACTATCTACTGATTTTTATTTGTTCAAGTATATTTCTTGGTTACTCTATGGCATTGACATGTATCTGAGTTAAGCTTATTTGTGTGACAACTTTTCTTGGCTGTTATAACCTTTTGCACTTCTGAATTTGTGATTTCGAGCTCATATGTGCAAATGAGGGCCAAAGCAGCAACTATTGTTTTCAGAGTGTCTGATTATCGTGTCCTGTAAATCATGTTAACGCAACAATCTCCTAGAAAAGTCGCATACTTAACCTATAAATATTTAACATCTTACACATCAAGTTTACCATCTTATGTGTTCAAAAGTCCATGGTCTCATTCTGAACGGATTCTGACTGCTGTCTATACCAAAATAGGCAATATGGGAACTATTTTTGACTTTGTATTTACTGGATTAATTGTGTTGCCCTGGAACCATCAAACTAAATTAATAGGCAACCTTGCTATTATACCTGAGATGTTGATTTGGACTTATTTAAATACTTGATGATATTATTGTACCAAATATAGGGTCATTGAAATCTTAGTTTTTTTGCCCTCAGGTCTGCAATATTTCAAGAAGACTGTCAAATAGTTTCAGATTCTCATCCGCAAGTTAGTATTAATATCAGGTCTTGTTTCTACTCTTGCTTACGGGTACAAATGTATAATTTAACTTTTCATCAATTGATTCTTCTAATAATTTGACTTATTTATGTATAAATGACAGGCCTTACTCAAAGGACTCAGGATATGAGAATATGGATATTTCCGTCCATTTACTTGTGCGGTTAGTGTTTCTTAATGCTCTTTTGCATACTTGTGTGCATTTGATACTTCTTTCTCATATTGGCTCTTGGGACTCTCATCAATTCAATTTCCTGACTCCCTTGCTCCTCCCTTTATTTTTGCTTTGTTTTAGTTGCTTACCAGGATATCCTTACAAGTGCCCCAAAGTGCAATTAACTTCAGAAAAAGGCCTGTCTGAAAGTGATGCTGATAGGCTTCTGATGCTCCTTCATGAGCAGGTATTGGTCTTCAGTTTTCACTTTTAATCAATATCATCAAGACATACTTCAAGCATGGAAATTTTCTGTCAGTTTCGTAGTTGCTGGCAATCCATTGACATGTATTACATGTAGCATATTTCTAGTGCATGAGGGGAGTTTCACGTGGCACTTATTTCGGATTAGGAATGCTTTTAAATACAATAGAATAGATTGGGTATGAGCATTTGACTTTGTTGCACAAGATTTTTGAGGTATTGTGGGTGAAATAGTTATGTCCGTACCACATTTCAGTACAATTGTAGGATTCGGTTGTTGGCTTTAGAAGTCTAAATGGAATGTCAAGCTTTCTGGAATTATGGTTGTATGCTTATCTTATGAGTATTATGGTTGGAGCGAAGAGAGGATCTTAAGAAGCATGATTTTTCATTGGGTTTGTTGTCGGATAAGGTAAACTTGTTGGCCTCCCGTTTGTATAATGATCCAGTAGGAATTTTTTATTGTCTAAATTAGTTATTCAGCATCATTGGCACATTTTTCTTTCCCTAATATATTAGGATTACTTAATCAATTTTATGTAAGATTGATACATTATTCTACGAAAATTTTGTTTAGTCAAAATATGTATCTGTGTTATATATTATGCAGATCTTGAACTTTCTATTTAACAACTGCTCTAGGCAAATTCTAATGCTCGAGAAGGACGTGTGATGATCTTCAATTTGGTGGAAGCTGCTCAGGAATTTCTCTCTGCAGTGATTCCTACAGCCCCTTTGCAAAGCCGGGTAAATTTAATTTCTTGTTGATTTCATGTTAACTAATTTTTTCTTCACATTGTGGTGCCTCTTTTACTTATTCGTAGAAATTCATTATTTCATTCTGTATTTTCTTGATTGAGAAGGTTGTATCTATAGATGGAGACAGCATTGGCCAATTACCTTCTACAGATGTGGCAAAATCCTCTGAATCAGTCACTTCTTTCAAGGATTCATTTGTTTATGGATTTATGGATCTTTTCAGTGGTTATGAAGAGTCATGGAAAGGTGGTGAGATAAGCTCTTCAGTGGTTTCCCGTGCTCTATCCAGATCTAAACAGGTTTTTGAAGGTGTAGAAAAGAACTTTAAACCAAAAGAAAAGAGCAAGGGGGAGGATAACCGACATGCTGAAGTAGTTTCAACTTCTACAAAATTGGAGTATGTTAAAGAAGTGAGTGAAGATGATGCTAAGGTTCTATCGACAACTTCGTCAAATAGATACCTGTCAGATGACTTGGCTGGATCCAGTTCTGATGAAGAGATAGCCAATAAGGTATTGTTGCATTTTGTCTGGTATTCTAGTTGAAACTTTTATAGGCTGTAAGTTAGTTTCCAAATTCAATCAATGCTACCTGCTTTATGATCATTGTCTAACTGCTTTTTTTGGGGCTATTTGCTGGGCTATTTTTTGAACTTTTTGATACTCAAGTAGTTGCTAATTCACATCTTGGTAGGAACATGAAATGTTCTTTTATCTGTGGGGTGAAATTAAACTTAAACCGTAGTAAGCTGTACACTGTGAGTAACTTGGTGGTAGAGCTTGGGGCCAGTTCTTAGTTGAAGCTAATACCGAAAAGGTTGTCTACTTGTGGTTATGGAGGAAAAAAAGAAAATGGAAAGAACTTGTAAAGTGATGTGAATCTTTGCTGGTAATTCTAAGAGGGGCAAGAAATGGGTAAACTTGAATAGACATGAAACGAAAGAGTTAAGAATAGCCTGATGATTGTTGGAGCTTTAGTATTTATCATAATGAGAGGCACCCATGAAAGGAAATTATTCTAGATATTGTACTTAGAACTCTAACCAATTCTACATCAAACCCAAGATTTTTTTTACAACTTTTATATAGAATGTATGGGATATTAAGCTGAAGTAAGAATCACAGAGGATTAACAATCATTCGCTTGAGATTTGTGACATATACCCAACGAAGAAGCCCAACCGATAGTTTAAGCAAATTAACATCCCTCATCTTCATCTTCTGAACAGAGGAGTTGATGGCTCATGGCATCTTTAAATTCTGGTCCTTTAGGCTGTATATTTTCCTTTCCTTTCCTTTCCTGTCAATGTACTTTCTTGTCTTGAGGCTTGAGGATCATAAATCAGGAAGGACTGCGGTGGCTGTGATCCTGTTAGTTTTTTTTTTTTTTTTTCCTTTCCTTTCCTGTCAATGTACTTTCTTGTCTCGAGGATCAAACATAATTCAGGAAGGACAGTGGTGACTGTGATCATGTGAGACTTACAAATTTCCTTGTTCATGAGATTTTGGTGATATTTGTAGAAGCCCCAAATTGGATAGAGGCTCTAATACTCTGTATGAAGAAAATTAATTATCTTGATTGTTGAAAGATATGTCATAGCTGACATGAATTTGACATGGGTCAGTGGGTTTGTCCTATAATCCTACGTGGACATAAACAATGCAAAAAATGTGCAAAAAGGAAAAGACTTGATGCCAACATACCACTAACAATCAGATGGCGATAGTTGTTGATGAAGATCAACTTACAACAGGGTTATGATTCCCCCTCCAATGCTCAATTTAGTGTTAGCTAATTTTGAGAGAAAATCCAAGTGTTGGTAATGGAGAGACCGAGAGAGCATAGTGAATATTGAGAAAATGATTAAACCTGATCTTTGTCTAGAAGACGTCGGCATATGTGTTTGTATCATAATTAATGCGTATTTATTGGCAATTGTCGGAATGAGGGTTCCCAAAATCTTAGCCCACTGAGTGTTTGCCACTTAGCAGATTATTGAGTTATTGGCTGATTGCCTCAGAGCTGACATCCTGTCCCTGCCTACCTATTCTGGTATGATGGGAGTTGTGCCGTAATTAATGTGTATTTGTAGGAAATTGCAGCATTGAGGGTTCCCAGAATCTTAGGTAAATGATTGGTGGGCAATGAGTATTCCCCACTTAGCAGATTAGAGAGTGATTGGCTGATTGCCTGTGTGCTGACATCTGGCTTAGGTCTTGGATCCAGCCAAGGGCTTCTTAGTGTTCACTTGGGGCATTCAATCATGTTTCCCATCTTGCTTGGACATGTAGGTGAAAAATGGTCGTGAGAGTCCTATCATTCAATGTGGGCGTGATTGTTATTTTCAAAAATGAGACTAATGAGAGTACCACTGTGGTTGTACCCTTTTATGGTGAGACCGTGGGAGTCAGTGCGTTATAGGATACATCTATTTTTGTAGGATGTGACTGTTACACCTCTCATTAGGACACCCTCTGAATGAATGTTGTCATGGGTACTGATGAGTGTGATGACACAAGAATTTTTGAGACAGAATAAAACAAGTGACTGAAAACTTGAAAAACCTTGGTAAACAAGACTTGTTAAATCAAGTTCTTTCTATCCGTGTTCTGTTTCTTCTATGTGTTTTAGCTGATGCATTTTCAGGATACTGGGGACAACTCCGAAGGATCCTTATCGTCTTTCAATGACACTGATGATCAAGAAACTGGGTCTTCAAAGTCTTCCTCTGTGCCTCTAAGGAATGATCAGACATCTCAAAGTATCAAAAGTGATCTGATCATGGTACTGTTCATAAATCCTGTTATAATTGGCTTATGTCTCTTCATTTTGGACTATGATTGTATGTTATTTATAATTGTTCCTCATCTTGAACAGGCTCATCTTCTGCGCCTAGCTTGTGGCTCTAATGGCCCGCTTGCAAAGGCCTTGCCAAAATTAACATCTGAATTGTATAGTTTGGGGGTATTTTTTATTTTTATTTTTGTACAGAATATGGCTGTTTTAATAATTTATGTATGTATTCACAGTACTTAGGCAATTTTCATGCCATTTATTTCAGATCATATCAGAGTGGACAAGGGACGTAACCACCAATTCACCTACTCTGTACAGCAAGACTTTTGATCATGTTTTTCATCAGCACATGGTTCTTTGTTTTCCTCTCTCCATTATTTTTTCTTTGGTCATTTTCCAATGTACTTGTAGCGGTTGTTTCTATCTTTATGCTTAATTTTGTTGCAGGCCTCTTCAGAAATATCTGAGTTTTGGGAGCCAGTGTCAGATATTGGGGGGCAGGATTCATCTCTCCCAAATTCTCGATATCTTAATGACTTTGAAGAGCTACAGTCACTCGGTGAGCAAAACTGTTGATTAGAGTAGCCTCTTTTCAGTAGATTGCTTACAAAGTTAAGACTATAACTTAAGTACTAACAATTGAAACAAATTCAAAACCATTTTTTTCATTGACACTATCAGAGTAGCATTAAGTATTGCTCTCTTTTTTAGAGTATGAGAATCTTATAACCCTGTCAAGTGCATTAGAGTGAACTTCTCTATTAAATTTCCTTGGCTTGACATGGTTTTAAGAGTTATTGCTTGTTATTTTGTCTAATTTCCTTTGAATGTAAAAATATTGATTGATAATGAACATGGCTTTAGACTAAAACACTTGGTACCAACTTTTCAAATTAATTAAAGACTCCCTATTACTTTAATACCTTTCCCATCCTAACAAACATTTTCTAGTCTATAAATTCTATAATGAAACACATATAATGCCATATTCTTTAATTGATCTTCTTTAGGATACTCCTTGTTTAAGACTTGTTAACTATGTTTGATGAAAATTTCTATTGGCTACAAAATGTGAGACTAGATTTTCAAAAGGGCATAGAAAATCTTTATATGTATCAAGTTTGGTCAATGTCTTACATAATTTTTCTTTTTGAGATAGGTCATGGCGGTTTTGGTCATGTTGTGTTATGCAAAAATAAGCTTGACGGGAGACAATATGCTCTTAAAATGATACGTCTCAAGGACAAAAGTCCACCTGTTAATGATCGTATATTAAGGTAATGTATCTTCTACCAAGATTCTTCCTCCGTTATCTTCACTTGTAACTTAGCTTTCACTCTCGGCAATGCATAATTTAATTATCAATATGCTTAAATTATAAAAAGTTAATATTTTGAAAATATACATTGGGACAAATCTAAAAGATCCAATGTGACTAGTTTTTTTTCTTAAGTTAATATTTAGTGATAGTTAAAGTAAGCATTTGAATTAGTGTAAAAGTTAAATCTTTGCAAAGTAAAAAAAAAAAGGGGGGGGGGGTGGGGAAGTATATATTTCCTTAAAGTAAGCTTGCCAAGTAAAACTGTAAAAGGCTTTTTTAATTAAGTTTTGGATTGGTTGGTATCTATTTTATGTAATGCCATATTACCTTACCCGTTTTGACCTTTTGCATTATTTATATAGTTATTTTGACCAAATATTTTACCAATAATAAATTTGTTATCATATAGTTGTTGGATTAGTCTTTATGTTTTCAAAATATCAAATATTTATAATTTTTGCTATTTTCAAATTAAAGGTATAGACTATAGAGGATCAAAGTTGTGTATTGGCAAACATGTCCAAAAGGTACGGGAAGGTATATTGGGATAAAGGGAGTATTTTATGACATGTATGATCTCCTTCTAATTTTAGGTTATTAGGTATATGGTTATATGCTAATGTACGTGATGTTTTATCTAGGGAGGTGGCAACACTTGCTCGTTTACAACACCAACATGTTGTTCGTTACTATCAGGTTGGCATTTTCATATTGTACAGGTGTTTTTTCAACTGGAGGTGAAAGCCTTTTTTGTCATCCCAAGTGGGGTGGGGTGGGGTGGGGGGGGGGGGGTGGAGGGAATGGGAAACTATAGGCAGAGCCTTTTTTATTTTACAAATCTATTTCCAAATTTTTGTAAGGCTTCACAGTTTTGCTTATAAAGTTTTGAAGTCTCCACTGACAAGAAGTGCTTTTGTGTCTGGTCATTATTGTTGTTGCATGCATTATATGTTTTTCGTTTGTTAATTTTATGTTGGTGAGAAATAAAAAAACTCAACACTAAGGCACAAGGAGTTCTGAATAAAACCCATGTATAAATCTTACTGTTATCTAATGTGATATGTTCATACAGTATATCTGATATCTGAAGCCTTAACTGTAGAATATTATTTGTAGCAGGAAACAAGGGATCAAGTCATAATCAATGGATGCAAACAAATGTTTTTATTTTTATTTATTTATTTTTGTTTTACTTTTCATGGGAAAAAAATGAATATTATGAAAAGAATTTATATTGTCTTGCTACATAGGTTCTGTAAGAATAGGGGTAACATAATACCTGGTGCTAAACACAAATTTTTTTTTTGGTCCGTTTTGTATTTAAGAGATCTTTCCGCCACAACACCCACAAGTGGTTCATCACGTTTGGCTGCAGATCAGCTTATAATGGAGAAACATTTGCAGTAGATACACATTAATTGTAGTGGAATCTTTCGAAGTAAATTCTATATGTTGCTGTACTCATTCCAAAGTGTGTTGTAGTGGAGACTTTCTGATAAGTAAATTTTTTTCAGAACTATTGTTACTTCAGCAGCCATGCCTGATCATTTTAAATTATATTTCCTTGATATGAAATAGTATGGATCCTATTATTCAGTTCCTTTGTGCTCTTAGTTGGTAATATCCTCTATATTATCAGTGATTTAGGTTGGCTGGATTTTAGTCACTCTATTTGGTGCTCCTATTTTTGCAAATTGTACTGTGTTTTTTTGGTGAAACATTTTATTTTTAATGCTTGCCAATGCACACCTTCAACAGTCAATATCTTTGAGACTTTGACAATCAATACGTAAAAATTTGATATTTGAGTTGAATTTAACAAGATCCCACATGGCCACATCAGTAGATTTTCCTTTCGAAAAAATCACCAAGAATAAACAATGTGTAGTGTGTGAATAGTGCATATTTCAAAGTGTGTCTTCTTAGTTATTATTGGTGGTTCTTTTTTAATTGTTTAGTAGTATGAAAGGTTTACTTTTTAGATTTTGATCTCATCACACACTCTATTTTACCCTACAAATTTCCAGGCGTGGATTGAAACAAGAGTTGCAGGAAATCTAGAAGACAGCATGTGGGGTTCAAAGACTGGAAGAAGCTCCAGCTTCAGTTGCATGGGTGGCAGTTTGTCTGATACCATTGGACAGGAAGATATGATAGAGTCACCTTATCTTTACATCCAAATGGAATATTGCCCTAGGTTATCTCTTAAATCCAGACAAATCCGTTGCATGAATTAGATTTGCCATTTTTTTTTCTTCCAATCTAAGCCAGCTCTCTAACAGCATAAGAAGCACTGTTTTTCAAAACCTATGTGTTTGTGTTTTAATCTAAACCAGCATACCTTGCTAAGTAATTTTGATTTTTCGGTTCCTTTCTGTTTTGTGGCCAATGACTATCAGCTTCTTTACTTAATTAGGTTTAATTTGTGCTTATATACAACATTAACCATCCTGTTTTCCATCTAGTGTATGGAGAATGCAATGTCTTGTAGGGTTCTATTTGTGGGATTCCCTTAGAATTGAATTTAATATTTTTATGGTACTTTTATATCTTGCAGCTATTATGTTATGGTGGTTAACAAGTCTATCTTTGCTATATCCTGTTCACATTTGAATATTATTATTAGCTCTCATTTGTGTCATGTTATTTTTTTTAAATATTTTTTTTAATAAAAATATGTCTACAGGACTCTCCGTCAATTGTTTGATTCATATCGTCATTTTGACAAGGAATTAGCTTGGCATTTGTTTCGCCAAATTGTCGAAGGTTTGGGACACATACATGCACAAGGAATCATTCATCGTGACTTGACGCCAAATAACATATTCTTTGATGCTCGCAATGATATTAAGATTGGTGATTTTGGCCTTGGTATGTTTTTTTCAACTAAGATATATTTTGGTTCAGAAATCGTTATTGGAAGATTTTTTAATTGGTGATCTTCTTTCACTTTTGGAAGCTATCCCAAGCTTCATTATGAAAGTCATGGGGATATTGGGATTATACATCTTTTACATGTCCTAATATAGCTCTGAGGCTCATTAGAATTTATTGTTTCATTTTGGGTTGTTGATGATGAAATTGTAAACATATAGGACCTACCAAATTGTTTAGGGTTCATTTATACAAAACCATATACGAAAAGAAGTATGTATTGAAAAAACAAAAAGATGTAGATGGGTACTTGAGGTAAACTAAATATGTATAGGCCGTCAAGAAAATTAAAATTCTGCAGTAGTTCATTATGATGTTTAATGTCGCATATCCAAAGCCTCTAAGATGCAATAGCTACTACTATTTTGCATGCTTTCACAATGCCAGAGTGATAATGTAGATCAAAACCCATGCAGTAATTTTCTTTTCCTACTTTATTGCTAATTACGGATAGGTAGATGGTATAAACTCTTCGTTCATGGACCATAAATTTATTTATTGCAGCCAAGTTCTTAAAGCTTGAACAACTGGATCAGGAAACAACATTTCCTTCAGATGCACGACATGCACCAGGTGTTTCAATTGATGGTACCGGTCAAATAGGTACATATTTCTACACTGCACCAGAAATTGAGCAAGGATGGCCAAAGATTGATGAGAAGGTGGTGAACTCTGTGTGATCTTTATTTAGGTTGCTGTTGTGGTTCATTTATAACTGTTATTCTTGCAGTACCTTTTGCATGTGGATGTGAATTATTTGTATGGCATGGTTGCAGGCGGATATGTACAGTTTAGGAGTTGTATTTTTTGAGTTATGGCATCCTTTTGGAACAGCAATGGAGAGGCACATTGTTCTTTCAGATCTAAAGCAGAAGGGAGAGCTTCCTGCAGCCTGGGTTGCTGTGTTCCCTGAGCAAGCCTCCTTGCTACGACGACTAATGTCTCCTATCCCTGCTGACCGTCCATCTGCTGTCGAACTACTTCAAGATGCCTTTCCACCGCGCATGGAGTATGAACTATTAGATAGTAAGTATGCTGATAAATAAGTGGCTTGAGTTTATTCTATCTCTTGCTGTCATGTGAATGGCACTGAATGCCATTGCTATATATATGCATGATCATAGCTACTTTTCTCTATTGCATGTTTGCAGCAGATTGTGGACTGTAGCTCTGTCTTTGCATGAATAGCAACTGCAGTCTGCAGGAAACACCCTTCAAGTTTTGTTTCTTATGCATCTGAATTCACAGAAAACATGAATGCCATTACAATTAGTTGACATGTTAATCTTACACAGGATGAGATTGGGTTTTCAAATTATCTATTAAGCGCATAAGATATCCATGTATACACACCGTATGCACTGTCTAGCACTAAGCATTATTTGGAGCATCTTCTGATGTAGCAGTAAGATGTGTAGGCAGATTGACTAATTAAGCTCACTGAAGTAGTGTTTGTCGTATCTTTGTATCCTAAACAGTATACTAGGTTAAAATAATTCCCCTAGTAATTTAAATTTTACAATTATGATACTAATGTTGTGCTGTTTTACAAAAGTGAGAGGACTGATAAGGTTGAGATGAGGAAGGAAAAATTGAAAACAACAACAAAGCCTTAGAACCAAAATGATTTGGGGTTGGTTAACATGAATTGTCTTAAGGAATCGTACAATATAAAGAAAATGACATAACAAAGTAATCATTAAAAGAGTTTGATAAAAGGTGAGTAAAGTGAGTAAACGAAAGTGCATTTAAAAAAAATTAAGGGAGTTTTAAAAGAGAACCAAGAATAAAATTCAAGAAAGTTGTAAAAGAGTAATTAAAATGTTGAAGTATAAACATAAAGGTTTGAGAAGAATTTAACAAAGGAAAACAATACAGTTCATAAAACATTGGTAGGCTAAAAATAAATTTAAATACGAAAATAAATTTAGAAAGTATATATAATCACGACACGTCGTTGACGTGAATTTTCTCCCTCCACACTGCTCTATCCAAGACCATATTTTCCTCAATCCCCAAAGCACTCATGTCACTCTCAAGTCTCAATCATCCTCTTCCAAACACTGAAAAAACAAAAGAAAATAAGTTGCTTTAAGTTTGAAAAAGGGTTGATTGTGTAGCTACAAGAGTAGTTCTGTGTATAAGTACAATACAGTAAGAATAGTATTTACTTAAACATAGTTGTGTTGTAGTCATCGAGCGATGAGTTGTAAATATATGGGCATCGGAAAACATATCTTCTTCTTCTGCCCAACCTTCAATAGATGCAAGTAAATATATGGGCTTTTGATTTCTCAATTCTGGGTTTTCTTAATTTTGAAGTGAAATTTCAATATGTATGCAGACTTTCTACGTACAATGCAAACTTCTGAGGATACAAGTGTTTATGACAAAGTTGTGGGTGCTCTCTTTAACGAAGAATTGTTAGCTTCCAGAAGCAGTCGCCTTCATCACTCAATTGGAGACGTGACTTCTGTTGCCCAATATTCAGAAGTAGAAACTGAACTTCATGATTATGTAATAGATGCAAGTAAGGAAGTGTTTAAACGACATTGTGCAAAACATTTGAAACTCAAAACGTTACGTTTGATGGATGATTTTCCGGTTTCAGGAAGGTCTGTTTCTAAAGTCATTTTAGTCTCTTGTCTTATTTGAGTGCCTTTCCAGTTACTTACAAAACTAAATTTTTGTTTTGGAAAGGGGAAGCATAAAGCTTTTATCTCAAGGTGGAGACATGGTTGAGCTTTCTCATGAGTTACGCTTGCCCTTTGTTAAATGGGCAACTGTAAACCAGGTAATTGATATGGAAATTTTTTAAAGTATTTCTTAAAATCATATGTGACATTACCTCAAAGACTGGATTTATGGGGTAATTTTTCTGAAGGCTATGGAAACTTTCTGTCAAGCCAAAACTACCATGCTTTACTTTTCATGATTTCTATAATATATGTCTGGGAGGTTTATTGTATTTACTATTTAGCAGTACTTCTCAATTCTCATAATATTAGCTCAAGCTTTAGATTATCCTGTATTACTGTAGCATAGATCTGTTATTACTATTATTTTAATTGTTTCCCTTTTCTACTTTATGTGCTGTTATAAGCATAAGATTACTTGTTGCGTGTAGAAATCATCATTCAAACGATACGAGATATCGTCTGTATATAGGAGAGCAATTGGTCATGCACCTCCAAATGTCTACCTTCAGGTAATCTTTTCATATGTTGCTTGATGTGATTAATAATTCCATTTTATGTGACATCGTTTGTTGTGACTAATATATTAAGTTAGGGTTCTAAAATATTTATATTGCTATTCTACAGGGTGATTTTGATATTATAGGAGGTGCTTCACCCCTGACAGAAGCTGAAATTATAAAGGTACATTTTTGTTCTAATAATCAGATTTGGTATGAAATGTACAGACACATGGAAATACCACTAATGTGATTTTTCCGTAGGCAACTTTTAAATTGTTGCAGCATTGTTTTCAATAATGTTTTGTTGATAATTTTTTTTTTTTTAAAGCCATGAGAAATTAACTACGTTGTCATGTCATGATTACCACTAGATTTTTGACATGAGATCATGAGATGTCTACATGAGGCATGTATTAGCTTAGGTAATTTAAAGCATGCAGTAAAATTCCCACTTGTGTCTCCTCATTTTCTGGTTCCTTGAGAGTGAATGCAACTTATATTGAAAAGAGTCTAAAGATAGTAAATGTGTATTACAAGGAAAACTCTTATAAAATGTATTAAAAATAAATTCCTGAGAAAAAGGACAAGAAAATAGTTGTTTTATATGTGAAACGTAATTTGTTAGTACATTGATTGTTAGAACCTTATTGTGTAACCTATTTCCCGGACGAAGAATGCCAAAGTAATACAATAAGGATTTGTTGCTGCTGACTTGGCTGGATGGAGATCCATCCTAATTGGACTTATATTTTACATTTTACCTAGCGAGTGATGCGATTGTGTCACCTAGCTTGTCATCAAATATTATTGGTACCACAATAGTAGTGGGATATTTATCCCGTCTTATAAAGCCCCACGAAGGAGAAAATGTTTGAAAATATTAAACTTGTAGTTTTGTGGTGGCTGGCTTTGCCAGACAAGATATTAAAAGGCATTAACATTTTCTGTTTTCTGTAGCAGATTCTTGTCTAAATCAATAACAACTGAACAAGCATATATCTTCCTTTGTGTTTATTGTAAAACATTCTCTATTTTCTGTAGCAGATTCTTGTCTAAAACATTAACAACTGAACAAGCATATATCTTCTGCTTTTTGGTGTTTATTTTAATTTGTGTGTGTTAATGTGTTATGCTTAAGCAGGAACTCCATTGGGTAATGATGTTGTCGTCATCACAGTTGTTTCTGTTGTTCACATGCATCGTGTTTGTAAAAATTATATTTATTTGAATTATTTCTTCTCTTGCTGAACCTTTGTTTGAAATTCTTTGGTTTTGTTGGATAGGCAACGATTGATATCTTAATGCAGTTTTTCAACCCAGACTCATTGTATATTCATCTGAGTCATGGAAATCTATTGAATGCTATGTGGTCTTGGGCAGGAATCAAGGCTGAGCACCGGCAGAAAGTAGCTGAGGTATATCCTCATGGATTCATAAAATAATATTTATACCTTTACTGATTTTTTAAATTTTGACAAAAAGCTTCATGAATGTTCTGTTTCAGATTTTATCTATGCTAGGCTGTCTGCCTCCCCAATCCTCTGAACGGAAATCCAAATGGGTATTAATCAGGCGTCAGCTTCTTCAGGTATGATCATATATAGTTGTAGCTGCAAAATTTCTGGTTGCAAAATTGTCTGTTGGGAATACTATTTTGTTTGCAAATTATCATATATCTAATTTGGAAGGTTGAAATCCTGAAGTGAGTTACAGCTACACTGGAGTAACAGTAACAGTAACACTGATATTGTAGGCATTTCTAATTTATTAAAAAAGCAACCTGTTAGGATGGTAGGGATTCTTTGGTTGTATTGTGCATCAAATCTAGAGTGTATGTAAATATTTCTTACATAATTTTGGAGAAGTAAGGACTAATATGTTTGTGGCAATCAACGTTGATGTGAGCTGTAGTTGTATTGTGCATCAAGTTTAGAGTATTGTAAATTTGTTTTACATGGTTTCTGAAAGGAAAGAGACAACTAACATGTTGTGTGCCAATCAACTTTGATGCGGGGTTTGTGGTAGTTAAAGCAATATGATATTTTATTTTTATTTTTTTTTCAAAATAAGGTACCCGGCAATATTATTTGTGGGAGAGGGTCAATTAGTGTCTTTTGAATACATGATTGAGTTCTCCATAGGTATTTTTTCTGTCTTTTAGTCTCCTTAGCTTGTGTGAGTTAATCTCACTTTTCAAATTGTAATGAGCAAGTTTCTTAAAAATGAAATTTACTTTATTTAGAACACAAAATAATGTACTTTATTTACTTTTTTTATATATTTTTTTTTTATTTACTCACTTTCCTTTTTTTAATGTTTCTTTTTAATTTACTCATTTATAACTTACTATTTTCAGAAATGAGACCTACCACTCTTTCTCTCACAGATATACTTTTATACGAAGTATGTCACTTTCACATGTTACTTTTTCTCTCTCCTAAAATGTAACCAATTTCTTGGTTTCCATGAAAAGCAAAGTGTGTGAATTTAAAGGGCAGGGGTTAGGGAATAAATACGTCTATGTGTGCACTTTCTATAGTAACTAATTTGTTCAGTTATTTTTACAACTTATCTTTTCAATAGATGAATTCAAATATTTTCTGGATACATTCAAAAATGTGAAGTTGTTATGTAATCAGGAAGTTCGTCTGCCAGAAGCAGTTGTTAATAGATTGCAAGCAGTGGGCCAACGATTTTGCGGAGATTCACAACAGACTCTACCAAGATTAAGAGGGGCACTTCCAGCAGGTAGATGTGAAGTATATAGTTTAACTAAATTAACAGACAATTTATTGATTTTTTCCTGTCACTATGTTGCATGTGTAGATACATCTACGCGCAAGGCACTTGATGAGATATCTGATCTTTTAAGCTATCTCAGAGTATGGAAAATTGAAAAGCATATTTACATTGATTCGCTTATGCCACCAAGTGAATACTACCACAGAGATTTGTATTTTCAGGTATATGACTTAAAATTGTTTGGGCATGCAACTAGGATAATTTATCATCTCTTTAAATTGTGAGAACTTTTATAAAAGAAATTTTGTACTCCTTGTGTGATCGTAGGTAAAGCTAATCTACAGCAAATTTCTAATATATTTCTTTTAAGCTTTCTTATTCAAGCTTTGTTTGAATAACATACTCTATTGATGGTAGATATACTTGAGAAAGGAATCATCTGGGTCACCGATTGAGGGTAAATTGCTAGCTTTAGGTGGTCGGTATGACTATTTGCTGCATCAGATTTGGGAGCGTGAACATGTAAGTTTGTTTTACACACTATCATATTTACTCTTCATATTTAAACATGTAAGTTTGTTATAATAACATTTTTAACTTTCTTTGTTCTATTTTGTTGGCTACACTTTTGTTTATACGATCATAGTTCATGAGTGATACGTCATGAAAAGTAATGAGTGATTTGGAAAAGAGGGGAAAAAAACATTTTTATCCTCTAGCAATAAAGAAGCAATATATTTTATTGTAACCAATTTTTATTATTTTAAAATGCAGAAAATAGCTAATTTTGTTTAAAATATATGTAGGAGTATGTTGCATTGCTGAATTGTTAAGAGGGTTTCTAATTAAAAATTGGACATGAAAAATGAGAAAAGGGTTGAAAAAAGGTTGTGTCTGAAAGACGTTAAAATGGGTATAAATAAAAAGCTTTGCAAAAAAAAAAAAAAAAAAAAAAAGAAAAAAGAAACTTAGTCTACTTGGTGCAAAATCTGTTCATCTGTTGTATAGTCTTTTTGTCACTGAACAACTATTACAGTAGTGTTGATATACTTCGTATATGCCAAGTCTTTTGACCTTTTTCTATAAGGGGTCAACTTGGAAAATGATTGGGTTATGAAGTTGGGCCGTTGGGGTCAGCCCTCCCTTGTCCACTTGATGGGAAAGGAAATTTTATCTGCAAAGTAAAATTGTTATTAATTGTTACCTTCTTGCTGCAGCCTTTCTATGAGGTATATATGTTCAACTATCTGTGACCAACGTTGAATTAACTAAAACGATCATCCTATGACAAACCAAAGTGGAAACTGAGACAATTACAACTAGAGAGGGTTATTCTAATCAAACTGCAGATACCCATAATTACATGTACCAGAGTTTTATAATTGAAGCTCTGCTATTGGGGCTTATTCTTATATCTTAACTAGACATTAAGATATATTATCAAGATGCAATTTAAACTTTCATTTTCTGAAACAGGTTTATTAATAAAGCAGTGTACAAAAATAGTTGTACATGGAACTTATATTATGATAAGAAGTTTGTGACATAGCAAATGCTTCACCGGAGAAAATACATTCACCTAATAACATAGAAGGGGTATATTCATTGAATAGGAAACCTTGCACTTAATCACCTATGATCCCTACTTAGGGCCTGTTCTCTTCCGTTGAAATTCAGTTCAGTTCAGCTCAGCTCTTAATTTACGTCTAATGATATAAAGCCAAATTTCATTCTTTAACAACAACAACAACAACAACAACAACAACAACAAAGCCAAATTTCATTCTTTAACAACAACTGAAATAATAATAACAATAAATATTATTACTATTACTATTACTATTACTATTACTATTACTATTACTATTACTATTACTATTACTATTACTATTACTATTACTATTACTATTACTATTACTACTACTACTATTACTACTACTATTACTATTATTACTATTATTATTAGCTTTTGAATTCTTGAAGCTGTTCAAGTAATAGGAAATTCTATAGAAAGCATTATGTCGTTGATGGGGGATAGGGGGAAATGTGGGATTTATAAAGGGTCTTTTCTTTTTAAAAAAAAAAAATCATGTCAAATCCTCTTACAGTGAGTTGTTGGGAGAATGTAACAATGATCTATTGACGTGGGAAGTAGCTGTGGTTTTCATGTGTATGTGATCTGAAAACATTGTCTAGAATCTAGATTGTCAGGCATCTCTTTGGTGGTCTGGATTGTTAATCCCATCTCTTTTTAACTATTAGTTGCACAAATTGCTTTTAATGCAGACTAACTGTTCAAACCTTTTTGTTTCTTTGGTCTTCTTGGATATTATTGTACTATTTTATTCGTAATTGTTTTATCATGCACTGACCTGAGTGTTTTCAGAGGTCATCTCCACCTGGTGCTGTTGGGATCAGTCTTGCACTTGAAACAATTATTCAACATTCTTGTGTGCATATCAAACCTATCAGGTTTACTCTCTCTATTTTATCTATGTATTTAGTGTGTGCACGCCATTTTCTCATGCCATCAAATTGGTTATTGCTTGCTTGGCTGATATAGGTGCTATGATGAATTTACATTTTTGCAGAAGCGAGGCTTGTGCTGGTGTTCTGGTATGCTCAAAGGGAGGAGGTGGTTTATTAGAAGAGCGCATGGAGATTGTGGTAGAACTATGGGAAGCCAATATTAAGGTAAGAAAGCTGAATTATTGAAGAACTCTACCATATTACTAAGTTGTGCTCCGAATTTTATGATTTTTCTATTTGGTTTTTAGGCTGAATATGTGCCGTCATCTGATCCGAGCCTTACAGAACAGTATGAATATGCAAATGAGCATGATATCAAGTGGCTTGTCGTTATAACTGATTCTGGAGTTTCTCAAAAGGATACTGTAAAGGTTAGGCTGATATCAAGTATTAAACTTGTAATTCCTCGAGGATGTATTTGAATTTTTTCCCTTCTTCCGTAGTGTGAATGCTATTCTAGTCTGCACTTAACCACTTGGGAAATCTAATTTTTGACTATCATAGGCAACTTGGGGTTTCCCACATCTACAACGATAATCAGATCTTAGCAAAATCAAATATAGTCTGATAGCGATTAAGATTTACGTGTATGTTGTCAGGTCCGTCATCTCGAACTCAAGGGGGAAAAAGAAGTTGAAAGAGAAAATCTTGTCAGGTTTCTTTTGGAGGCAATGTCATCTCAATTTAGGAGTCTTTCTCGTTGGAGTTAAGCATGCTGATAACTGTCCATTCCTGCTTAATTATCAACATGAGAGTTCAGAATCTGTTCAGAATGAGCTAAAGGTAACAGAAATTATTCCCTTGCCATGATATGATATTGATTTTCGAGATGTAAATAATTAAATACAGAGGTGACTAAATTAGAATGTAAAAAATGGTTTTTTTTTTTTTCCCAATAGAAACTAAAACGATTCAACCAAGTAGTAGCAATTCGTGTATGATTGGTAGTTGTTTTTTCCCGTAATCTTATTCAAGGACGTATGGATTTATTTCCAAGGGCTAAATAGTAGATTACATTGTTGGTGAAACTCAAATGATCATCTATTTTGCAGGTTATGCTCGCCTCTCCATGCTGTTAAAAGACAGTACTCCAGTGAACAATTTTGTCTTAGTTACAGTGGCAAAGTTTAGCTAGAATCACACTATGTTGCGTTGCTGCTACAAATTTTGACAATGAGCTCAATTCGTTTATCTATACCGGTTACATTACATTTTTTTTCAATTCTTTTTTACTTGTAAATATGCGTTCGTCAGGCAATGTAAATATTTACCGTACACCTTACAGATTCTTAAGGATCTTAGTCAATATGATGTTTAAAAATAGGTTTTGATCATCTGAAGTAAGTTTGATTGATTGTGTAGCTCAAACACAACCAAATCAATCATGGCTATTAGGCCAAGAACCAAATGGTTGCATTCTTTTTGTTGCAGTTTTGTTTAGTCCAGATAAATTTATCCAATCCAAAAGAACAAGGATTTTGACCCACAACATTATGCTTGTTTTACAATTTACATTGACCATGACCTTGAATTTATTGTTAATAGTACTTGTTACATTGCTTTGCTTGCGGAGGTGTCTATTCGGGTGTTCGGATCAGGTTCGATGAGGTTGGGTCAATTTTTAAAGTTGAATATGGTAAATTATTGTGTCCATGCAAGTAAAAATCTAAATCGAATATTTTTCAAATCGGTTTTGAATTGGGTCGGCTCAAGTGTGGTTTTGACACCTCTACAGTTGCCTATTTTTTTGGTGTTTAGAGAGCCACAAGGGCGGGGGTGAGAATCGATCCCAAAATCTCTTGGAACCGGAAAAGAAACTCTAACCACTTGAGCTACCCCTCACTCTCCTCTACACTCGCCTATAACAAATTAACAACACATGTATTCATGAAATTCACAATTGTCATACCACTCATACTTATCGATGTAAAATCATCAACTATATCCGTTGGTTTGGGGCAAAAAAGCAAGATATAGTTCTTAAATATGATAGTGGTCCATTAATCCCGCGGTTCAAGCTAAGCTAAGGCCTTAGGTATTACCAAACATTTTAAATGACATTTTCCAAACTTAGGGCATGTTCCAATGTATTGAAATCAACTGAACTGGAGCTGAAATAAAATGAAATGAATATTTTATAAGAGAAGGAAATTAGGAATTGAGCTGAACTGAATTGAAAATAAACGTATGAGAATAGACCCTTAATTCTCTAAATAACGCCTCCGACGATTGCCAATACCTTGAATGGACATTATTTGATTGCTAATAAAGTTCATTGCCAAATAACGCCTCCGACGATTGCCAAATGGACATTATACCTACATCAATTTTTATTAGTGAGCCATCAAATTAGATTTAAGTTGATAGATGACTTTCTAAATGGACATTATTAAAATTGATTGGATCATAAAATGAAAAGGTTGTTTTATTATTAGATTGACGTCCCTATTATACTAATTATCCTAATATATTAAAAGGCATTTTTAAAAAAAGTATATGTGTCACGTATACCCTTTCACTTAAACCATATTATAAATATGAAAATAAATGTATATAATTAAAAGGACTAATAAAAAAAACACCAAAAAATTTAAATACATATAATCATAAGGTTTAATTAAAGTAGTAACCCGTGCAACACTTGGACCACATACTAATTAATTATTAAATAATTTATTTGTAGCGGATTTGTTAAACCATATCAATGATTTAATGGCCTTAAAGTTTCAAACGTAACTTTAAAAGTGAATCACTAAATCACGCTAGATATTTGACATATAATGCTCAGACATTACAAACATTCCCTTTTATAAAATATACCCCATTTTGATTTCTCTTCCAATATTCACTCTTTACTTTACTTACCCCACCACCCACCAATTTATTACCCATCACCTTACACATCTTACAAAAATATGGGCGTTTTCCGATAATACGATCTTTAGTAGTAAGGTGGTGGGTGGTAAACCAGTGGGTGGTGAGGTAAATAAAGTAAAAGGTGAAATGGGTGTATAATACTCCCTTCGTTTTTTTAAGTGTCCCATTGACAATTTTGATATTATTCATTTTACTTTGATCAACGTTTGTAATTTATACATAAGATAAAATTTAGTCTTTTTGCCTTTTTGGTACTTGTTAGAATTGTCTCAGTGAATAGATTATAGATATTCAATTGTTGTAATTTATATTAATTAAAGATATTATTGATCAAAGTTTAACATTGACATACATGTTATGTCATTATTGGACACTTGAAAAACCAAAGTATTTTATAAAGGGGCATGTTTGTAAAGTCTTAAAAAAATAAGTGTTACCCCATAAATATTGGACATGGTTTAGTGAGTGGGACCATTCTACTAGTAGTAAAATGGAGGGAGTATTAGAATGAGGAAAATGGAGGGAAAAATTAGGGCTCAAAGTTCTTGGGTTTAGTTCCTTTTTTATCAATCATCATGGCTTCCTCTGAACAAGTGTTTTCCGAAATTAAACTTGCAGAATCCCAAATTCATCAAATTAACAGTAGTTTTCTTGCTCTTCAATCACAATTTTCACAACAATGGAGAACCCTACAAAATTCCTTGGGAAAAATCCAATCTTTACTCAAAAATCGTTACAAAGAACTCGAATCAAAAGAAGAACACCTCAATTCAATCCAGAAATCCATTGAAAATCGACAAAAAGAAGTCGAATTGAAAGAAAAGCAGTTCAATTTCACTGGAAACTTCGTCTGCGATCGATGCAAAACCCTAGGAGTGAAGGTAAGTGAAACGGGTAATGTAGTTGTTAAAATTGAACCTTCAATTGAATTTAGGGGTGAATTTAGTACTGAAGATGCTAGTATTAAGCTTTTTGTTACAATGGATGGAAAAACCCTACAAATGTTTTTGAATGATAGGGTTGATGAACATGAAATTATGGGTGATGAGGTTAAGAGTGCAATTAAATTATCTAGTGATCCTTCAAAACTTGTGTTAGATGCAATGGAAGGGTTTTTCCCACCCCATTTGAAGAAGGGTAAGTTGGAGTATGATGGGATTGTTGTTAGGAGTAGTTGTGTACTTTTGTTGGAGCAGTTGATGGAATTGAAGCCTGAAATTAAAAAGGCGGTGAGAGAGGAGGCAAGGGCGTTGGCACGCGTGTGGAGGAAGAAAATGAGGGCGGAGAGCGGGAGTTATAAGGTGGTTTTGGGGTTTTTGCTTTTGGTTGAGGTTTATTGGTTGTGGTGGGATTTCGACAAGGATGATCTCGGGAGTCTGTGTGAGGTTGTTCGGCCGCACAGGGTTGTGGATGAATTAGATTCGAGACTTTGTATCCTTCAAAAGTGTCATGGTGAGCTCTTGATCATTGAAAGCTATCGTTTTTGTAACTCTTGTTGATTTATTGCATAATAGTTTGTGCAAATTGGTGAAATGCATGGTTTTCTTGGTGTGTTTTGCTCTAATCATATTTTAGTATGGTTGGAAGTTTGCTGACATTATAGATAATTTGAATGTAGTTAGTCTAGTGACATTGAAGTTAGGGATCAGGATATTGAAAAGTATATGCGATTCTTTAGATATTGGGACAGATTAACTTTTTGTCTGTCACACCTGTTTTCTAGCTTAAAGTTAATATATTCAAGATAATTAAGTATTTGCAAAATATCGTCTCAATTCATGTAAATCGAGCTTATCATCTACTTGGATGATGTACTCCCATGTTTTAGCTTATACTAAGAAAGTAAGAAATATATGTTGGATAGTCGATTTAGCAAATAAATACTGACATTGCCTTTAAGTAAACTAGCCTCTGTATTGTTTCCTTCTCATCGTTTGGCTGGTGATATAGATGCTAGATTTTCTAAATTGATTGTACAAAATCAATTTAGAGCATTAGTGTCTTTCTAATTCTTATGTTTCACTTGCTAGTGAGCAACAGGGCATCACAAGCTCAGAAAAAAGAGACGTGTACTCCACCTGTAAAGAATGCATTTGTTTCACCTTCCATGGACTCTTCTGTTGATCTTTCCGCTTTGTGCAAGGAGATGGATGGAAAAATTCTACAAATGTTCTTGAACGGTAGGATTAATGAGCAAAATTGTATGAGTGCAGAGGTTCAGAGTGCGCTTCAGTTATCAAGTGATCCTGCAAAATTGGTACTAGATGCCATGGAAGGGTTTTTCCGGGCACATTTGAAGAAGGATGGTATGGAGTATGAAGATATTGTTGTTAGGAGTAGTTGTGTACTCTTGTTGGAACAGTTAATGGAACTGATGCCTGAAATCAAGACGGCGGTGAGAGAGGAGGCAAGGGTGTTGGCCTGTGTATGGAGGGAGAAATTGAGAGCAGAGAGTGGGAATTGCATGGTGGTAATGGGATTCTTGCTTTTGGTAGCTGCATATTGGCTGTGGTGGGACTTCGACAAGGAGGATCTCAGGAATCTTTGTGAGGTTGTTGGCCAGCACAGAGTAGTGAATAAACTGCATTCTAAACTTGGTTTTCAGCAAAAGTATGAAGGTGAATTCCCAACCATTGAATTTTTTTCCTCTTTGAACTCCTACTTGTATGTGTTTATTACATTATGTTTTTTGTACTACTAGTATAATTTAGGTGCATTGCATGAATTTCTTGGTGTATTTTGCTCATTATCTTATATTGACATGGTTAGAATTTGGAATTTGTTGGATTTATAGACTATATACATTGAATTTGATTATTAGGGTTTTTTGTTAAGTATTTGAGAATTGCAGCTTCCTTTCCAATCTTTATTCTCTCAACTTAAGTATGGAAGAATATAATTTTTCTTTTCATATTATCTATACCCAAAATTTTCAGCTTAAATTAGATAAGGTTATCATCTCTTTGGGTGTTGTGCTCCTATTTATCAACTTAGACTAATATACTTATTGGTTATTCAATATTGAAAACTGAAAGTGCCATTTACTTAACTCATCTCTTCATTGTTTGTTCTATCTCATCAATTGGCTAGAGATATAATTGCTAGATTTTCTTACATATTATTACTTTTTTAGAGCATCATTGTTTATCTAATACTTATGTTTCACTTGACAGTGAGCAATGTAGCATCACAAGCTCAGAAAAATGAGCTATATACTCCCCCTATGAAGAATGCGTTTGTTTCACCATCCACGGACCCTTCCATTGAGCTTTGCACTTTGTGCAAGGGGATGGATGCAAATGGGTTGAAGTCATATTTAGTCAAGCATGTAAAGGATCTAAAGTTATTCCCTGAGAAAGTTATGGATTGTCTTCGATGGGCTTCAGATCCTGCAAAGCTTGTTTTTAATGTAGTGCAAGATTTCTATCTAGAAATGAATGAATTTCAGGGCAACACCAACATTTCATGTTGCAATGTTTTGTTAGAGCAGCTGATGCAACTCTCACCACATATTAATTTTGTGCTTAAAGAAGATATTATTAACTTTGCAGCTCGTTGGAAGGCTAGATTAGCGAAGGAGAGTACCAAGCCCTTCTTTGTTTTTGGCTTTTTAAAGTTCTTAGCTGCCTACAAATTGTCGAGTTCCTTTCAAACAGATGAAATCCTTGCAACATTCTATGATAAAGATGATATTTATGAATTTGAACAAATTCCTAGTTTATGTCGTGCTTTGAGTTTGGAAGCAAAGATTCCAGGTAATTTGACCCTCACTCTTTATTGATCTTAAACAATACTAACTCCTTTATACTTTGATGTTTACAATTGCCATAGCTATAGTTCTCTTCTTTTTTATTGCCAACCAGTGCTGGGACTTGCATGTTATAATGAGAATTGATTTTTTTCCTGTACCTGTACCTAGCTAGCATTCCATATAACTGTCAAAATTCTATCTGCATGATAATATTTTTCAGCAACCTGTTTAATCAATTTTGTGGGTTGTAATTGTTGTTGTACAGATTTTATCAGATCTCTTATTAAGGAGAATAAGTGGCTTGAGGCTGTTCGCTTTATATGTGCATTTAATCTGGCTGATAAATTCCCTCCGGACCCTCTACTGAAAGCATACTTGGATTACACATATGAAGCTGCATTGAAGACCTGCCAGAACTCCAATAATTCAGTTAAGGCACAGAACAAGTGTGCAAACAAACAAATACGTGCACTACAAAGTGTAATCAGATGCATTTTCGATTTCAAGTTGGATTCTGAGTACTCACCCATTGACCTTCAACAGCGCATTCGGCAACTTGAGCTACAGAAGGAAGAAAGAAAATCCTTAAACCTGGAAAAAGATAAGGTTGAGAAAAAAAAGTTTACTGCAACAACTCCTCATGTAGATTCCAACAGCATGAAGAAACGGGCAGCTTGCCCCACAACTGCCCAAACTCAGTTGCTACAAAGATGTAGCCTAGAAAAGTGTCTTCGTACAGACATTGTTCAGAATTCCATCTTTTCGAATGTATCTATTCCTATGGCTTCCAGCATGAACACATTGCATCCACCTTCGCCAAAATTCTCACAATTTGGCTTGCATGACACTAATACTTCAAAAATGCCCTACAGCAGTATTAGGCCTACTGTAAATCGTACTGGTTTGGACACTAATTTCTCAGGTCATGTCTCTGATTAGCCACATTTTGGTACTCCATCTTCTGCCGAGTACAGTACAAAAGTATTATTCACTCTCCATCCTAAAACCATTCCCTGATTCTGTTTATTGTAGGATAGTTGAAGTTTTTTGCTTAAATTATCTCAAGTCCCCCAATTTGTAAATATTATCCTTTTGGGTATTTTAGGATATTTTGCTGAAGTTGGTATCTTTTTGAAGTAATTAGATGGTTTTTGCTCAAGCTGTACATTTGTAAAGGGTAACACCCACCTTGGTGTTCATTTTGGTACAGGGCTGTTTATAATCCCAGATAGAAATATATTTCTCATCAAGTTCTTGCCAAATCGCTTTTGATTCTGAAAGAGATAATGTCTGACATGCCTTAAACCAACAGTTACTATCTGCATGGTTTCATTATTTTCGCTAGTCTGATTCCAACTCCTTACTTTCAGCAACAGTAAGCATAGTTATTTGTATCAAGAATTTTCTCCATCTCTTATTAAAAATAGTTCCTTCAATGGTATATTTGTAATATAGTTCCATTTTACTAATTCTTATTAAGTCGCGCTAATTTGAATAGCGTAACATGTTGATTTACTTACAAAACAAAGACTACAACCAAGGTTTGATGTATACTCTTCAGATATTCACATTGACACATTGGTTGCATAAACTAGGCGCATTTTTGAATATATTCTTATGATTATTATCATAGTTTCTAGACCAATAAATCAATAATGCATATCAAAGAAGACCTAATACTGCTGTATAGAAACATAGAAAGAGAAAAAACCAAAGAAATGCATTGAACAGATTTTGGTTTATGTATAATTCATCCAAAACCTCTACTTTAACATCTAAGCCCTTATAGCTCAGTGGTAGAGCGTCAGTCTTGTAAACTGAAGGTCCGTAGTTCGATCCTGCGTGAGGGCATTTTTCCATTTTTGTTTTTTTGGCCTTTTTTTTTTCCTTCTTAATTTTAAAATTTTGATGATGATTAGTACTCCCTATCTAGAAATCATTGAATTTTAAATCGAAAATAATTGTTGAGTAAAGATTATTTCCGATTGGCCAAAGTTCGAGAATAAGATCACCCCCGAGTAAAAACATGAATAAGAGCACGTGCAAGTAATATAAATAGCACGTATTTGATTAAATCGTGTTGCCGTGTACTCCGTATAATATATTCATTTTATAATTGTTGAGTAAGTATTATTTTCGATTGGCCAAAGTTCGGAAATAAGATCACGTACGAAAAATAAAAAGAACGTATTAAACCATGTTGTCGTATATCATATTCTCGAAAATAAGATCTACTTATAAAGTTCGACTAAAAAGTTCGATCCGTGGCATTATTATATTATTGCTGACTTCACAACCTAAGTGGTTAAAAGACTTTTAAAAACCTAGCCAGTAACCATCACACCCTCTTTTTGCTATCAGTCTATCCTGGCTCGACAATACAGCATATGTAACTGGAAAAAAAAATTAGGGTTTAAATAACTTTCAATTTCCTGTAATTTTTCTCAACTTGCAACCCTAATTTAATTTGGGCCTTTTGATTTTCGCTGAATTCAACTACCATCTGCAACATTTTCATCATCCAATTCACTTCTGAAGGTAATTAATTGCTCTTGAATTGCATTTTAATTTTTGATTTATATGCTGATTTCGGAAGTTATTAAACATTGCCGATTTTTTGTTGAATCGTTTTGTTGTTGATTTAATTTAGAATGAAGCTATGAACCTCTGTTAATTTGTGATTATGATCCGAAAAATTCTGTATTTTGTTCATTAGCAGGTGAAATTAATTTTTGATCATGACTCCGAAAATCGCCGATATTCGTCTTGTTGCTTCTCACCCAGAAGTTTATGAACCGTGTGATGATTCATTTGCTCTTGTAGATGCTCTTTTAGCTGATCGAATGAATTTGCTACAACTTGAACCAAAAATGTGTTTAGAAATAGGATGTGGTAGTGGTTATGTGATCACATCTTTAGCCTTAATTTTGGAGCAAGATACTAATAGTAGTGTACATTGTTTTGCAACTGATATTAACCCGGATGCGGTTGAGGTAACCTCGGCAACATTAAAGGCTCATGGGGTTCACGCCGAGGTTATGAACATGGATATTGCCTCAGCGTTGGAGGATCGCCTTTCGGGGTTGGTGGATGTGGTGGTTGTGAACCCCCCTTATGTTCCAACCCCTGAGGATGAAGTCGGGGCTGGTGGGATTGTTGCTGCGTGGGCGGGGGGAGAGGATGGGAGGAGTGTGATTGATAGGATATTGCCTGTTGCTGATAAGCTTTTGTCTGAGAAGGGTTGGTTGTATATGCTTACTCTTGCTGCTAATAAGCCTTCAGAGTTGTGTGGGTTGATGAGGAAGAAAGGGTATGCATCGAAGATTATAGTTCAAAGGTCGACAGAGGAAGAGAGTCTTCATGTTATTAAGTTCTGGCGTGATCCTGATAGTGAAGTTCAGATTAAGAAGACAATGGCTAACAGGGGAAGTCCAACATCAATTTTTTCCAGATTGTCACGCTTGTCGTTCTCAGGGCATGGGAATGCTAATTCTAAGTAATCAATGGCTGGGTAGCAGAACCTACAACTACCATATGGATGATATCATGACTGTTTGCCTCAATTGATAATGTCATTGGCACAGATTTCTTATATCTGAGAAAAGATCAAGGAAGACTGAAACTTTCGACTGAGTTCAATGACAAACTGTTTGGGTTGGTTCAGTGATAAGCAATAATCACTGCAAAGACCATGTTTGTTGCGGAGGGAAAAAGTTGTATGGGTGAGTTGAGTTGCAGAAAATTACAACATCAACCAGCAATCCGGCATAACTATGGACTTGCAGCATCATAAGCAGCTGCTAATTAACATGCTTGTAATGTACACTCTGAACTACTTTGCGAGTTTGTACAAGTCAGAAGAGAGTTTTGCTTGTATGAGAGATTGGGAATGCTGGGGAATCCAGAATTCTTTATTGGTTGCTTTCTTTGCAAAGTTGTTGCATCATAAAGGCTGTTTATGAAACATAGGCCAGTAGAATTTTCATGCTATTTTTACTTGCATTTTCTTTGATCTCCCCTCTAATTCAAATACTCGTATATCTTAAGGGCTAGTTTAATTTACTAATTTTCTCTAAACATCTTACTCTTTTTCACTAGCAAGTTTAATACTAAGTATGAACTTTTATCTGGCAGATAATAGAGAAGTAATTGCATTAAAGATTATAAATATATAAAGTTGCTATTTGATCATTAAGAATTTTTATTATTATTTCTGTACACAAACCTGAATCAGATTAACTTGCAACAGATGCATAAAATGCAGCTCATATCGGTGTATTGAGCTGCTTAACTAATCAAAAACATCATAGTGCCCTACATTAAATCCATAAATTAATGTCAGTAGATCTATCCTATAAAGGGAAAAAAAATTAAGGTGAGATAGGAGTAATTTAAACTAAGTTTCCTATCAGTTTGGGAAGTGAATAATGCAGGTGATAGCTGGTGGGCTCAAATGCTCAATACTACAGTTGAATCTGCTAGTAGGGCATGCATTTATGAAATCTAAAGGTAACATTTTTTTTTTTCTCTAAAAAAATTACATTAGGCTTCCTCACTCTTCTTTACATTTTTTTAAAAAATTGGATTAAATCATGATAGTTATGCGAAAACAATTAACCAAACTCTCCCCTAAATCTGGTGTTTTGCATATATAATCATCAATCCTAGAAATTATGTTTCAGGAACAAACTTTCTTGTGGAGAAGCAGGACCAATTTCTTCTTCCAAACTATTTAATCCCTCAGCACCATTTCTTCCGCTGCCTATTGTTTTGGCCTCGGGATTCTTTGCATTTTCAACATCAGCTTCAGAAACAGAAGATTTTCTTCTCTGAGAGGAAGTGACACTGGGAAATGTAATCCATGAAGGAGCTCTAAACTCAAACCTTTGATCCTCAGCTGACCCTATATCGGTTTCTGAAGGGTTTGAAGATCTTTGAGATGTTTTCTTATGCATTCTGCTGCTTCCTAAAACTACCTCTGTTGGTAGAATAGGCTGCTCGCTACAAGGGGTGCCCATAAGAAGAGCAAGGGCTCGTTCTAAAGCTGTCGTGACTTTGTCCATTGACGGTCTATCTTTCCCTCTCATTCTCACACATTTACAAGCTACATTCGCTATTCTTCTGAGTGCTTCAATTTCTGAGGGAGGTTTCAAAATGGGATCTAAAAGAGCTGATATATCTCCTGCTTTAATCAAAGGAACTGCCCATTCAACTATATTTCCTTCTTCAAACTGCATATCTATGGCCTTTCTACCACTGAGTATTTCCAAGAGCAGAACACCAAAGCTATACACATCAGATTTAGTTGTTAGGTAGTGAAGTCTGTAGTACTCGGGGTCAAGGTACCCCAGAGTTCCAGCTGGTAGCTCAGCTAAGGGGGAACTGCTGTCTACAGGGCCGAGGAGAGAGAGTCCAAAATCAGCCACTCGTGCATTGTGCTCTTCATCGATGAGAATGTTTGAAGATTTTATGTCCCGGTGTATCACAGGAGGACAAGCATAACCATGCAAGTATTCGATTCCTCGTGATGCTTGAACAGCTATGGTGACTCTGCGAACCCAATCTAATTGCTCCTTCAGTGACTTGTCTTTCCCATGGAGGTGTTGGTGTAATGACCCATGAGCCATGTACTCATAAACCAAGAGCCTTTCTCCTCCTTCTTCGCAGTATCCTAGCAGATTGAGAAGATGAGCATGGTTTAATCTAGACAACAAATCAAGTTCCGTGTGAAACTCTTTTGAGTTCTTCTTTTGGTCAGAAGTCATTATAGCCCTCTTAACAGCTACTACTGTTCCATCCTTCAAGACTCCTTTGAACACGCATGAGAAACTTCCTCTACCCACTATCGACTCCTCTTTGAATCCACTGGTGGCCTTTTCAAGCTCTTCATAGGAGAAAACTTTAGCTCTTCTGATCTTCAGCTCCTCCACGTCAGGCCTTATCTTCGGGTTATCTCTAGAAGATCCATTGTTTCCTCCATTTTTCTTCGAATTCCAAACCCTGCTTGCTGAGCATTGACAGTTTCGAAGCTTGTATCGAACATATAGAATTGCCAATAAAGACACTACTATAGCCAAGAAGAGAGCAAAAACCACCTCTGCAACTATGATTGGAATCTGAATTGCCCAAAACTTCACATTTTTCTTCCCACCAAAACTACCTGAACTAGCACTGGCGGAACAATTTGAAATGCAATCAGACGACACACAACTTGAACAGTTATATGCACATGACTTCATGTCAAATTGTTGAGAACATCCACCTTTGAGA